TGGCCACTCCTCCGTAAGAATCCTGTCACAGAATTTGCATCCTCTCAGGAATTTAGAGCCTTAAAACAATCCCACTACCGTTAATAGTAGTAATATTAACAACAACAACAACAACAACAACGGTGGTTAGCCAACATCCACAGAAGGAGGTGTGAACCTGTGGCTGTAAAGATCACTTCGACAGTCGGACACACCTGGATTTCCACTGCAGCTCTGACTCCTCTGACTAACGCTCCTTTCAGAAAATCAGTTATGGCCTCAGGCTCCTCATCTCTAAAATGGGGGTATCCATTTCCTTATTTCATAAAGTTCTTGGGAAGGTTAAATGCGATATGGAATGAAAAGCTCTCAGCGCCATGCCTGGCACAAAATAAATATTCACTAAAAGTTTGCTGCTATTTTTATAAACATGACACAATTTATTGGAAGTCTATTGTGTCGGGGGCTCTAAGAATGTTATCTCTAATCCTGATAGCAATCTTCAGGATAATTATTGTTTGTTTCCACCTTCAAGATAAAAGAGTTAAATTGCTTTTTCAAAGTCACTTGGCTAGGAAATAGCAAAGCAAATTCCCTTGGGTCTGAAAAAACATCAAATTTCATCTGAATACCTCCAAACTGATGGAAAGCTCCCTTCAATGTCATGTTTCAAGTTGGCACTTATAGAACTTTAAGTCGAGATAAAAATCAAAGGATAGTCTTGAGTAGTAGAATATCCGATTGATCAAAATCAATTTATTCCTTCAAGCTTTATCACAGAATCTGCAGTGAAACTTCAAATGCCATTTAACTAATTGTGCCCCATATATACATCGTAGCAACATGAAATTTAAGAGTCTCTGTATTCATCAGGACTCTTTGGGTATAAATAAATGAAGCCCATCTCAAAGTAACTTAAGTGATAGAAAAATTTATTCCTCCTCTGTCTGAGAATTCTCAAATCTAGCTTCAAGCATAGTTGGATCCAAGCTCTTTGCTCTCCTCTCTTTTGCCACATGGGCTCCATTTTCAGCTCTGACCTGGCTTCCTCTTCTTCTACTGAATAAAAGACAATATGTGTTGATATAGATATCTGCCAACAGCCTCAATATTTCACTGTTGAGTAACACCAACAGATAGATGACTTCTTTTTCCTTCAATATATGTACACCAGTCATCGATAAGAACTTTGGCCTACTTACAGCACACAGTGTGATCAGTTCTATCTAGAAGTGGATCCTGCCCTGGCCGGTTTGGCTCAGCGGACCAAGGAGTCTTGGGTTCGGTTCCCGCTAAGGGCATGTACCTCGGTTGCAGTTTGTCCCCGGCCCACTTGGGGTCGTGTGGGTGACAACCACTCGATGTGTCTCTCACACATCAATATTTCTCTCTCTCTCTTCCTTCCTCTCTCCCTCCCGTTCTATCTGAAGATAAATGCAAAAAAAAAAAAAGAAAAGAAAAGAAACGGATCCTTCAATAGTATTGCATTAATTTCCTATAGCTGCCATGATAAATTATCACAAAGTTGGTGGTTTACAACAACACAAATTTATTCTCTTAGAGTTTTGGAGCTCAGATGCCCCAAGTGAGCTTCAGTGGGCTCAAGTCAAGGGGTGAGCAGGGTCTGGTTCCTTCTGGAGGCTCCAGAGGAAAACCCACGTCCTTGCTTCTTCCAGCTTCTGGAGCCCACCTGCATTGCGAGGCTCAGGACCTCACCCGTAAATGCTCCAACCTCTTACTTCCATGGCGACATCTCCTACTTCCTCTTCTGTGGTCCAATCTCTCTGTGCCTCCCTCTCTTCTAAGAATATTTGTGATTATATTTAGGACCCATTTGGATAATCCAGGATAATCTCCCCATCTCAAGATAATTAACTTAATCACATCTGCAAAATCCCTTTTCCACAGAAGGTAACATTAACAGGTTCCAGGGATTAGGAAGTGGCGCTCCGGGGCACTGTCATTCAGCCTAGCACATGCCACATGCATAGCCCAAGAAGATCTGAAAACCGATACAAACAAATAGTCGTAATTTCAGGCAAAGAAAGACATATTTACAAAGACATATGATACAAAGAATGGAGAAGTGATTTTCAGCTTCTGGGATCTGGCTTGGCCTCTTGACCGATAATTGTACTGACATTGCTCATGTGCCAGGCATTGCTCTAAATGCCTCACTCATAGCCCTGGCCAGTCTGGCTCAGCGGTTGGAGCGTCGGCCTGTGGTCTGGAGAGACTTGGGTTCGGCTCCTGCTAAGGGCACGTACCTCAGTTGCGGTTTCTCCCCGGCCTTGATTGGGTGGTACAGGAGGCACCCACTCCATGTGTCCCTTTCACGTCGATGTTTCTCTCTCTCGCTCGCTCTCTCTCTCTCCCTCCCTTCCTTCCTCCCTCCCTCCCTCCTTCCCTCTCTATCTAAATAAAAAATGGAAAAATGTCCTCGGGTAAAAAAATAATAAAATAAAATAAATGCCTTACTTATATAACTCAGTCAGGCTCCACAAAGTAGGCATCCACATTTTATAGAAGAGGAAACTAAGCTACAAAGATATTAAGTGATTTGCCCAAGATCACACTGAACTCTCAGAGCTAGAAGTTGAACCCAAGGTGCACAATGTTGTCCATATGAGGTGGGGGGCGGGGGGACAAAAAAATGAAGGGGATTAAGAGGTACACATTTCCAGGTATAAAATAAATAAGGGGTGTATAGCAAACCTGGGAGAAGTAGTGGGAGATCAAGCTAGAGATCAAGGTTGAGGTCAGGGCACAGAAGACTTTGAAACCATGGACAACCTCCATGGCTGGTGGGAGCCCCCTGAGACACTGAACTAGAGGAAGGTACTATCAGAGTTGAGCCTTGTGAAGACTGAGCTGGTGACAATGTGAAGTCTGGGCTGAAGGAGCAGGAAGGGAGCTGGCCCCTCTTCCCTGCCGCCATGGCATTTTGTATGTCATAGAATGTGTCTGTGTGTCTTGCCCACTCCAGAGAGCACCCCAAAGGGGAGTTGATTGTATCATGCATCTCTGGTTGCAGGTGCCAGTAGATAAAACAGTAAACCACAGAACACAGTACAGCTAGGGAACAGGAGGCAGCTGGGGCTGCTGCTGTCGATGGAAAAAATAACATCATTTTGGAATCAATTTAAAGTGCCTTAACCCACATTTGCTGAAATCTTTAGCGCAGTAAAAAGTACCTGGGTATTTGTAATGTAGGGCTATATTGCCTCTGTGGGCCTTGATGGGATCCTGGGAAATTTCTCAACACCCCAAGACTTGTTTTCTTAATCTTTAAAATAGAAATAAAATGACTTTATTGGAAATTGTTAACTTATATGGTAGTGGTTATCTGGTTCAAGTGAGAGATCTGACATATCCATACAACTCAAAATTATGTCTTTGCATTCTCAATTCCAACACTAACTTAACTTTGTCTATGTTATTGTTTTTCTCCGTTTCAGAGATAAGGAAACTAAATCTCAGGGAAAGTGGGGATTTATTCAAAGCCCGGATTTGAACCCACAAGTGTGAGATTTCCAACTACGTGCAAATAGCATAAAGGGAAATGAAGCCTAAGGGAAAGAGAGGGACAAATGTGACCCCCACAAGTGAGCTACATTGGCCTCAAGGAACTTGCTCCCAGAGTGTTGAAGAAGCCCCCAAACACGGATTTGAAAACACTTAAACCTGTTAGCAGCCAGACGCCCGGCACCTATGGAGGAGGACGCCTGCCTCCCCCAGGAACTAGAAACTTGGTCCCCGCCCAGCAACAGCCCTCAGCGTCCTTAGCGACCTGGGCAGGGGCAGCCTCAGCCTGTGAGCCAGGCTCTGTGATTGGCCAGACTCCTCCCCAGTCCGGCTCGGCCTGCTTCCCCTCCTCAGCGTGGGGTTCCTAGAGAAAGCACCTCCCGCGCACCCCTGAGGTGCCTGGGTGGGGACACGCAGCCTAAGCGGTAAGGACACCCCCTCTGTTCTCTCCTGGGAAAGGGCTCAGGACTGACTCACAGATGGTGGGAAGAGAGGGGACCCCACAATAATAAATTCTGTTCCTTAAAGTTTCCAGAGGGCTTCAAAGGTTGCAGGGCCCGCTGGCTGGGGCTACCGTGTTTTAGAGCGGTCCTAGTGCGTGCTGACCACTCACCAAGTGAAGCTGAGGGCTTGGGAAGAATGCTGGGCTAGCTCTCAGACCCCAGGACGTGTAACAGATATGCTCTCACTCTCGGTGAGACCTGGGTCAAATAGCACACCCTCTCTGGGCCTCAGTTTTCCAGTGTGTAATGTATACATTTGAATTAGAATGATTTCTAAAAGACTTTCAATCTCTGAGAGGCTCTGAAAGCAATAGTCAGCCTAGGGCCAGGTTTACAGAACTTAGTTCCCCTTGGCATCAGACCTGTTTAAACACCCAGGGCTTATCCATGCAGGATCTCAAAGTCAGATTCATTGGCTTGTTGCAAAAGCAGATCAGCAAGAACAACAACAAAAACTTCCCTTTCCTAGGTATGGAGCTTCTTCAGGTGCATTATCTCATTAGGTTCACCCTGAGTACCTAGAATAGAACTGGAATTATCCAGGTTTTATAAAAGGGGAAACAGCATCAGAGCTACATATAAGATCTTCATGTGTCCTCCTAAAGTCCTGGTTACTACCCTAACCTCACAAGAATGCCATCTGATGATATCAGGAAGGTAGATTCACCAAATGGCTCAGTGGACCAACTGTGTAGACCTCAGGTTGGAGTCTCAACTCTGCTAATTACTGGTTATGTGATATTTGAGTTAGTTGCAAGACTACATTATGCCTGTTCCCTCAACCATAAAACAAGAATGAAAATAGTAATTAAGAGTATTTTAGTCATGTCTTTATTGGGAGTGTTAAGTGAGATAATAGAGTGAAAGCATTTGATCCACTATGCTGATTATTGTTATTATTGGCAAGGATGCTACAGTTGTCTACTGGAAAGTCAAGAGGGGATATTTACTTATTTTACATCCCCAAGGACTTGAGGGGTTTTGAGAAGAAGCATGTCTTCAGCGTGGAAGCCTCCCCGTGGATCAGATGCAATGCCTGAGACCGTGGTGAAAATCATCGGAAGCAAACACTTTCAGTACCTCATGGAGAAGCCCAAGATGTAAGTTTACTGCTTGAAAAATATCTGTTTTGCCTGGATGATAATGAAATCTGGAGGGTTTTTTAATCTTGAAATTTGCATTTTAACAATGGCATTCATGGAAAATTAAGTCATTAAGAAGTAACAGTAAAAGTAAGATAGTGTTGATAACTTCTATGCACACCATTTTCCTGGTATTTTTCATCTTTATAATTCCCCATATTCCTTAATTAGTTGAGCTGATTTTTTAAATAGATGGGAAATATAAGCATTGAGACATTTATAAATATTAATGGAGTACTGCTGCTTCTCTTCATCAGGTTTGTAATCTACCACGTGTAGTAATTTGGGGTGGGGGAGTAAGTGGGGAAAGTCATTCGTCAATATGCTATGAATTAAAGGAGTCAGATTAATAATAAATTATCAATTGTAAGATTTTCACGTATCCTTTTTCTTATTCCATACTCCTCCACACAGGGGCTTCTCAGCATAACTAAGAGGTCTTTTTTCCCTTCCAAGGTCATCACAGTCGCATTTAAGGGAGTACACTCATGTATCTCTAAAATTAACTAGATGTTTGGTACAGAACACTGTGACTAACTCTTCCTTCCAGAGTTGTAGTGGTTCACAAGAGAAAAGGAAGGTACTAGACTTGCCTTTCATTTTAGAGTCATTCCATAAACAGTAGCTGGTCAAGAATAGCCTTTCTCTCCTAAGGTGATTTCCATAGTTCTTTCCCCTGTATCTACACACCAAATAGACAAACAGAAAAAAGATCTGTCACTCAACATAGGTGCGGAAAGCGGTGGATAACAAATATGGCTATCATCAGAATCACCTGGAGAGTCCTTAAAAATAAAGATTCGGGGTCCAACCCAAGATCTAATGAATCAGAATCTCTGAAGATGGACCCTTATTATAGAGTATGGGCTTAGAAGGGACCATCAGGCCCGCTGTAATGGAGCATAGGCTTCAGAAGGGACCATCAGGACCACTTTATGAAGTACAGGCTTTAGAAGGGCAAATTGGTTACCTCCCCACCATCAGCATTGTCAGCCCCAAGAGATTCCAAAGTGAGTGCTATAATCGGTTAGTCACGCCTGCCATAGCACAGGAAGTGAGCTTTGCAGCAAGTCAGTGGGATCCCTGCAGAGATGAGAGTGAATCTTGGCTCTGTGCCCTCCTGGCCTTTTGACATTGAAAAAGTTAATTAATATATCTGGCCTCAGACTCTGCATCTATCAAGTGGGGGAAAAACACATCTATGTAGCAGGATTGTTGTGAGGAGCCAGTGAGAAAAATATGCAAAACACATTTTCAGCACCTAATAGTATATTCAACATGCTTAATAAATGGTTCTGCTATTATTATTGAAACAAATCTTTCCATGACTACAAGACATTTGTTTTGTAGGTGAGGAAACTGATGCACTATGACCATTGTAAGATCTCCTGTCAAATGCTATTGTCAAGAAAACTAAGATCAGTTTGCACGCCCTGCTGAGTTCTCCAACCCAGAAAGCAACGTCACTACTCTACTAATTCCATTCCTCTCTGAGGTTGTTTGTTTAGCAACTTTTATCCCAAACCCCTTCCTTTTTCCAGGAGCCTAATATATTCCTAAATGGGTGAGGAGGGAAAGGATATTTGCCCTTTAAATAGGGGAAAATGCCCTTTGTCTTATAAGAAGCTGCTTTTTATTTTTCCTGTTTATTCTTTAAACTCAGAATCCAGGAAATAAAAGAGTACATTAAATCAGTTACATTAATTGTGAAATAAAAGACATAGTTCTGTTTTATGTATGACAATGAAAAAAACAGTTGTTTTCTACATTAAGACAGGTATTTTTGTTTGTTTTCTATGGGTTTGTGTTACTGTTGCTGGAATAATGTAGGGTAATGCTTTGCTAAAATATGCCTGTGTGGTTCAATAGCATAATAATTCTCCAGAGCCTTCTGGTTGCTGAGGTAGGGACAGACCCACTACTGTCCTTCCTGCATGTCCCAAAATCTGTCCTCAAAGCATTTTAGTTATGCCACGTCTATACCTTTCGGTAGGGGGCCCAAGAGGGTGTTGTCTTTGGGTTGAATCAGTTGATCTTATTAGTAAAAATCCACGTAAGCGTCTGGCTGGTGTGCCTCAGTGGTTGAGCTTCGACCCATGCACCAGGAGGACAATAGTTTGATTTCCAGTCAGGACATATGTCCAAGTTGTGGGCCCGATCCCCAGTGAGGGGCATACTGCAGATGGCCAGCTGATGTTCTCTCACATTGATGTCTCTCTCTCTCTCTCTCTCTCTGATCAATAACGGGGGAAAAAATCTACATAAGAAATAAAAGTAAAAAGCGAGAAAAGAAAGAAGTCTCTAAAAGGACAATCTCCCTGGCTGGTGTGGCTCAGTAGTGGAGTGTCGACCCATGCACCCAGAGATCACCGGTTCCATTCCCAGTCAGGGCACATGCCCAGGTTGTGGCCCGATCCCCAGTGGGGGGCATGCAGGAGGCGGCCAATCGATGTTCTCTCTTATCGGTGTTTCTATCTCTCTCTCCCTCTCCCTTCCTCTCTCTCTTAAAAAAAGAAAGAAAGTAAAAAAGAATAAAAGGGAAATCTGAATTTAAAAGAAAAATCAAATTAATAATGGATGAAAATACAGAAATCTTCCCATTTAACCACATTTAGTTCGGATTTCCTATAAGATATGTGGAGATGATTGAATAGTATGTTACACCTGAAAGTTATATATAAGTCAGTGTCATTTACTCGGGATGCTGTATTATAGTACCACAAACAGGGTGGCTTGGGCCAATAGAAATGTCTTGTCTCACAGTTTTGGAGATTGGAAGTCTGAAATGAAGGTGTTGCTCCCTCTGGAGGTGCCCAGTAAGAATTTATCTGTTTCAGGCCTCTGTCCTTGCTTCTGGTATTTCCTTGGTTTTTAGCAGCAGAACTCTGATCGTCACATGGCATATGTGGCTTGTGTATCTGTGTACACATTTCATCTTTTTATAAGGACAGCAGTCAGTTGGATTAGGGGCCCATTCTACTCTAGCATGACACCATCTTAACTAATTACATCAGTAATCACCCTGTTCCCAAATAAAGTCCCATTCTGAAGGTGCTGGGAGTTAGGACTACAACATACAAATTTTGGAGAGTACACAATCACGCCACAACAACCAGTCTTTAATTTTACAGATGAGATGAGACAACTGAGGCCTTGCTGGGCTTAAAGTGAGGCTAGTTATTAAGAACTAAGGCTGGCCCTGGCCAGTTTGGCTCAGCGGTTGAGCGTCAGCCTGCGGACCAGAGAGTCCAGGGTTCGGTTCCCGCTAGGGGCATGTACTACAAAAAAAAAAAAAAAGAACTAAGGCTGGAATTAAGAAAGGAAAGTATTCAATACCTACTTACCTGTTTTTCACAAAGCAGACTGACCTGTAGGCTTCAAGGAGCGAACCCCGTCGGCACCATCCTCGTTTCCCTGCTAGCTCACTGCGCCAGCATCCCAGCGCTGCTCCCGACTCTCCTCTTACTTTCTAGTCTACTCTCTAAAGCCTTGCTCATCAAAGTGTAGCCCATGGACCACCTCAACCAACCTCACCTGGCACCTTGTTAAATACAGAGTCTCAGACCCTTCAACAGATATATTGAGTCAGAATCTGCATTTTAGTCAATTCCCAGGTGACCCCTACACAGCATTACAGTGAAGCTGAATTCTCAAGTACTGCCAGTATCATCTTTCTAAAATGCAATTCGAATCAGGTGTCATCGCCACCAGCCCCAGATTCACCTGCCCCCTCCCCTGTAGACTCCAATAACCCCCTTAGGGATTATGACACGCTATGACTACTTCCTGTGCATTTCTGTCTCCCTCTTTTAACTGTTAACTCCATGTGCACAACTGTACCCTCAGTACTGAGTACAAAGTCTTGTATATAGTAAAAGCCTAATAAACAAATTAGAGCACACTGAACATCAAGTAAAGAAAATATCTAGAAAGACAATACTTAGTTGTTTAAAATTCAAGTGTAAAGACCCATGCTGCTAAAATTGCATGCAGATGCTGTTGAACCCTGATACACAATCTTTGATAACTCGTCAAGAAGGAGATATGCCAGGTAACAGGAGAAGAATATTCTCATTTTCTAAAAGGCAATAAAAGTAAGTAATAAAACCATAGAACTTAAGGCTTGCAGACAATCCCTAGCAAAACTGCAGACCAAAGAATTAAATATATTAGTTGTGAAAACAAAACACAAAGTGATGGTCACTAAGGGGTGGTACTTGTTGACTAAAAGTAGATTGTGTCAAACTGGTCCCATTCCCTTTATTGATGAGGTTACTGCTGTCCAAATGAAGAGAATGATGAAGACATAGTATTTGTTCATCTCAGTGAGTCATTAGGCACACCCCTATCACAAAGACTTGAAACGAGGCAGATAATTCTGGACTGGATAGTATTAAGATAGGTGGTGGTGATCGAACAGTTGGTGTAAAGACTACATGTTGGAGTTAAGGAGGTGGAGAGGATTTCTGTGTGACCTTGTTCTTGGTCAGCATTCTTTAATCCACACCTGAAGAGAGACAGACAAATCACTTCAGTAAACACGTAGGAGGTCGTAGAAGGCTGGGAAGCCTTGTTAGGAAAAGAGCTAAAATGATCAAATCAACAGATATATGCGAAGTCTGTCTTTAGTTAAGGGTACATGTAAATGATTATAGGGAATAAATAGTTGTTTTACTTGATGCGAAATATTAGAAAATACATATATTGATCTCTTCTCCCAGTTCCTGGCATGAAGCTCCTCAAACCCTTGCAATTTCCTGAGATAAGAGTACTAGGGGCATTTTTGTTGTGGTGCTAATATTTTGACCCTGGTTCCTGATGCAGAGCTCCTAAGTCCCTTGGAATGTCCTGGGTGATGGGATGTTTTGTTTTAAAGAGGATACTCTCATCCTGGCCGGTTTGGCTCAGCGGTTAGAGCGTCGGCCTGCGGTCCAGAGAGACCTGGGTTCGGTTCCCGC